AAACTACTCGTCAATTCTATAATTTGAAACTGTCAAAAATAAAACTGCAACACGATCAGCGCAACGCACAGTTCTAAAACATGATTGTAATCATCAAGTTCCATAAACTTTACTGTTCTCTATGAAGTTCTCCGTTTTTTATTTGTGGAGCTCTTCGAAACATCTTCAACACATCCAAAGAAATTTGAAACAGAGTTCCATTCGTGTTTCAAACTCGCTCAGAAATAAAACAGAATAGTCGAGCAGTTGCAAATCTGGTGCAAAATAGTGCTCGAATAATGAAACTGCAACTCAGCATTGCGAGAGGTGAGTTTCTGTTCTAGTTTCAAATTGAAACAGTCCTTATAAAATACAACAGCATTGCGAACGGCCTTAATGCCTTTTCCAAATATTGCAATGGCAACCCGCAAAATATTGCTTCACGTTGAAAAAGGTCAGCAACAATCATTCAATTACAATCGAGGGGTGCGAATATAGCACTTATTACAAAAGTAAGAGTCACATTATTTTCATTAATTACATTGGGCCGTATGAATAAAAAGAGTTTACTTTACTTTCCCGTGCTTTTCTTACGGGAAAAGTAAAGTAAACGCTTTTATTCATACGACCTATTGTGTATATTACTTTAAATTTTGTCTGACATGTCACTGTTGTCATCAAATAAAATAATATGCTGAAATACATTCATTTGGAATATTAAACAAATTTTCATTTGGTTTACCCCTCGTGACGATAAACGAATACATTGGTAGCCTTTTTGGCCACAGAGGTGCTTTCATCGCTAAAAATTTGGTTCGCCAGCTAAGCGACAGGGTGGATCATATTGTTAATATAATATATTTGCTTCTTAGTTATTTTCAACGAGCGAAGATCTTTCGTCATCCACGGGACGCGAGAGTCGATATGGATGATCTATTTGGAAACGTGCCTGTCAATGAGATATGCCAGGACGTGAGAAAAGGTTTGTGCAGCAATGTTGACGATGTTCCCAATCTAAGTTAGACAGCACATGGACAATACTGCGATGGTCAGCTCTACGGAAGTCATTTATTCTCTCACCAGGCAGCGTTAGTGTGACATTCATGCTTCATTTATTACCCTAACTTAACATATGGACCAAGGTGACTACATATAGGTGTTCTAATGTGTCAAATTCATGATTCAGCCATGTTGGATTTTTGTATAAGACAGCGACCGAGTTGGTTTACAATAATTGTCATGTAGGCTTGTAATTGCTCATTACAGTTAAAATGCTATTTTTCGTAATTATGAAGCTATGAGGTACTATAGTAATAATTTTAATTTGTAAGAAGCATGAAGAGGTGGAAAAGTTTGTGGTTGACATATAAAATCTGCCAATTTTGCTTTCAGACAATCACAACTAGCGCTTTTATGATCGCTGATTGCTCGCTCATCGCGATGCTTATCGTTACAGGCTTACAGCTAATCGCTATTGTGACCCTCTGAAAGTTAAATTGACAGGTTTTATGTGTCATACACACACTTTGCATTGCATCTTGTAAATAACAATAATCATTAAAATATTTCATAACTTCATAAATTCGAAAAATATCATTTTAGCTGTAATGAGCATTTGCAAGCTTGTTACAATTTGCGAATTCAGAAGAACAACCCGAATAGAAATTGTAATGTAGGAAACATCATCAGACATCTTCAATACATTAAATTTTAATGTGTATTGCTGTACCCTTAATATATTCAGACTTCAGTGTGACATCCAAGTACATAAAAATACATTAGCCTCAAACGTAACATCAGAATCAAACGTCTTGACGATGTAAAATTTGACATCTGAATACATCCAATGACAACAGAACCTAACGTTACATTAGAATCAAACTTCATCACGATGTAATTTGTTGCACGCATTAAACATCAGAATACATCCAATGACAACAGAACCAAACGTTACATTAGAATCAGAAACATCATCACATCTGAAAAAGGGGCGTAATTGCTTTTTTAAACAATGACTTTAGCCGTCAATTTCTCGCGAATGAAATCTTACCTCTCCAAAATTACAATGCTAGCTGGTAGAGGAAACATTCCTCTGCCTGCTGGTGTCATTATTTTTCATGAGTGAGCTTTTATTCGTGAGAAATCGACGGCTAAAGCCATTGTTTACAAATGCAATTACGCCCCTTTGAAATGTTGGCACTGATATTCTTTCTACACAGCTTGGGCACATCCATAGGCACATTTTCGGCATACCTTCGGCACAATCTCGTAGGCATTAGACTGTTGTAAATAACATGGGAGCGCTGCTGGACAACTGTCATTGAAGTTGTTCTGAACATTACGTTCTGTTTGACTGTATGTTCAGGAACATCTTCTAATTGAATATACCAGAGAAACTCAGGCCAGCAGTTCACTTATAGATCTAAATTCGAAATGTAGGTTTTAGAGTGGACTCAAGAAGAAGAGGCAGTTAATCAGACCTCATTAGTACCCTTAATTCAAATAATGCTGCAACTCACACGAAACAAACTAAAGAAGTCTATTCATCACCCTCTATAGTCGGTCTCCAACAATTTTCCCCACCGGTTCCAACTCTTTCCGGCCGAAGGGCTAGGTTTCTGGTCTGCCTTTGAGGGCATTATAAAACACTAAAACACAGGACTTCTATTACCCTATAGATCACAAAACACCGAAATTTCGCACACTCGCCACTTCCCGCGTCATCCTCAATCCGGTTTATCCTTGCGATTTCAAACCAAAACATTCAAGGTGTCAGAAATACCGGGTTGCCGGGATAGATATTTTACAAACAATCGCAGCTTGCTCTATGACCGGCACAATCGGCATATTTGCGGCACACTGACAAAAAAGATGACCCAAGATTGGTGTGCGGAGTGACCTACCCCTTGACTCGGGACCAATAGGCTAGTCAAGAAGGGAGCCAATTTGAAATCGTTAGTTTCCACCGGATGGTATTATCATCCTTGATCTTGATAGTAAGAAAATCGGGTTCCCCTTGCTGGCCTCGGGAAGAATTGAATCGGGATAAACGCACCGGCATTGGTCAGTGCCACTATGAACCCTCTGATGTTTTTTCCGCTTGATCCATGATCCCTTCAGTTCCTCGTTTCCAATCAGCTTAATATGCTCCCGATTAAATGCACTTTAAATCCTATCTCAGATCAAAACATCCAACACAAAAAAAAACACATAGTTAAAATGGTTCTAATTTGTTTTTTTGTTTATTTATTTAAAAATTCAACTGGCAATTATTGTCTAAATGAATAAAACTTAAACTAAATAGTTACGGTCAGGTAACTGTTGGCCTATGGATCTCAGATTGGGCCCATAGCTAAAAATTTGCTATTTACCAATTTTATCTAGATGAACGTCTCATTGGGACGGTAGTAATGGATATTTTTGGTCGCTATTGAAAATTTAACCGATTGCTGAATTTATGTATTGTCCCAAATTAGTGGCATTTAGGCCGACATTACATCCATTTCCCCTATGTACATATCGCATGAAACTTCACATTCTTTAAAATTTAAATCTCAAAAGAAAATACGAAAGCAAAATTCAAACATGTCACTTGTTCAACGCGACCTACTTCGATCCGTCATCATCTTCCTGACTTTGAAACTCTTTACACGTATCTACTTTCAACCTATAGTATTCTTTCTATTTCAATCAATTCAGTGCCAACATTTCAAAGGGGCGTAAAAGCATTTGTATACAATGGCTTTAGACGTCGATTTCTCGCGAATAAAAGCTCACTCATGAAAAATAAAGACACCAATAGGTAGAGGAAAATTTCCTCTACCATCTAGCAATGTTATTTAAAGCTCACTCCTTAGCTTTAAGATGCGAGAAATCGACAGCTAAAGCCACCCGAGCAAAGTTCAGCATCAAAATGACAGCAAATTGAAATCAAGTTTTGATATCAACATCAAACTGAAATCATAATTTGATTTAAGTTTACGCAATTGACAAATGTGATAGGGGAAATGACGGCTTCGGCATGACAGACTATTTTCGGCAACCCAAAAAAAAAAACACTTCGCTGAATGCATTAAAACTATTCATTAGGCTTTCAGCTTCAATTTGATTATATGTTTACCACTGAGAAAAAGCAATCTAGCAGGGTTTTCTTGAAATGAAACACACGCACTACAAAATGCTGCTGATTTCGAGGTGCCGATGAAAACACAGCTGTTTAACACGCAGCTCAAATAGAAAGGCCGCAGCTGAATAAAAAGAGGTTGCCCACAATAGTCGCTCTCAGCTGGCAGCAAAAGATTGTAAATAAACCAATACTGCATATGTGTGCGTTCCTTAGAGAAAAAGGCTATAGAAAGACGGTCGCTGCTTAGGTTGCCGAGAATACGTAAATTCCCCTACCTAATTTTGTTTTCATTTTGCTGTAAATTAGTTCTTAAAAAATATGTTGTTGCGGGTTTGTTTTCATTGCCTTAGCATAACATCAAATTGAATACTTGTTTTGTTATCAACAGGAAATATGGATATCAAATTTAGTTTTCAGTTTGCTCTCACTGATAGCAGAAATAATTTTCAATGTGATGTCACAGGAAGATTTGTTTGCTCTCAATTTTGATATTTTAACCGTTAAAACGACCAAAACGACAGCAACCTGAGTAATCATTATCAGCGAAATCACAACATCAAATTTAGATTTCAATTTGATCTCAGACTTTGCTCGGGCATTGTTTACAAAAGTAATTACGCCCCTTTGAAATGTTGGCACTGAATTTATGAATTATTTCAAAGTTGTGGTAAGCACAGGTAGGAATTTAGCAAAATAAAAGTCTAATCGAATTTTAAAATCCATTGAAAAAAAAAATCGATCCGTCCTATTTGTACGAAAACGGAACCCACCGTTTCCTGCATGCTTGCGCTTGTACCGTTAAGGGTGTCCCCATGACAACGTAATTGTTAGCCCAAAAAGAAATTTGCGAACCTGCTTCCAACGGACCATTTCTCAATCGCAGTAAAACATCACCTTTAAGATTGATTAAAATTTATTGGTTATATTAAAAAATAACAAATAATGCTCACTAAAAATCTATATGTACAAGAAAATTAAACACATTAAGATTATAAGAATTAACTAAAAAAATCATTCTCTTACAACGTAGCATTCGTTAATTGGATGCTCATTTGCGTCTCACTCTCGCTTATCTCTTCTCTCTCGATCTCGCACCTGTGGTAAGGTAGCTGTGTGTTTTATTAGTTAGTTGATTTGTCCCTTCCCAGCAGTGCGCAAAAGTTCGAAAACTCAACTCTGAATCCTATGCACACCGTCGTTAAGAAAAAAAAAATGTTCGTCGTTTACTACACACTGGGTTTCGATTTCACAGCTTTCGAGAGATGCTGCACTCGCATTGCCTACGATAGAAGGGGGTGGCCAAGCGAGCTGCTGCGAACACAAGAAAAAAAAAACCTAAATCATACCGCACTAACTAAACTGAAGGACGAGGAGGAAAAAAGTAACGCGGAAGGCAATAAGCGTGTCGCTTGTTAGTTGAATAATCTCTTTTTCATTGTTGTAACTCTATATACTTTTTTTTTACATTTTACCTTAGTAAATTATTCGACTCAACATATGAACGCAGTTTTTTTTTATTGTAAACGCCAAGTCGGAGCTAGGTCGAGTCTGCTTTAGTTAGTTTTCTTTTTTTTTGTTTGTGATTCCTGAAACTGAGGTGACCTGGGAAATCCTGACTGATTGAATCGCAAAATGAAAACTGCGAATACCTACTAGGTAATAAAATGGCTCAATGGAGGAGGATTAGTTGTTTGCAGACTTTGCCAACTGAACAGTCAACTTGAGCTTTGCTGTTAGTTTATGCTGTGTTCGCACATTACTGGTCCAGCACACGTTTTGCACATCGGGAATAGCGTTTAAATAATTTAAATATTTCACTTACTTATCAGTTATTTTTTCTGCTTTTTCTCTTTTTTTTATAATAATTAAACCATACTTTATGTGTATATATTTGAGAAGGCCATTTTTGATTTCATTTTCTTAATGCGCTAAAACTTAAACTTTATGTGTTTCTTGCTCTCTTTCTCTCGCTCTCTCGCTCGCTCTTTCTCTCTGTCTCACTACTCTCTTACTTTCATAGAAAACATTGCTCGCGTTTCTGTGTTTATACACTGTGTTTGTTTCTTAATCTTCGACAAAGTCTCGGATCAAGTGGTTTCTGTATCTGTAAGTGTGTGTGTGTGCACTGAAAGGAAAATAAGAAAAACAACTATGGCGCTGTGCTTCCACTTTTTATATATGTTTGCTTGGTTATGTTTCACCGTTTCGCTTCTTTTTACTAACTACTGCATTTGCTTTCCTTTCTCGTTATTTCTCTTAAGAACACTAGTATGTCGCTGTCTTCATTTCTTCATTTTCCTTTTTGCACACTGTTTGCTTAAGCAGTTCGATTTCCTTACCAAGAATTTAGCTATTCCTCACGGTTTTTTTTTTATCGTCAAAATGTTCATAAAACCAAACGAATCTTGTCCCATGCATCTAGCACTGGTCGTCAGTCACATTCAATCTGTTTTTACACCACCTCGCACGGTTTCGCTATTTACACCCACACTCATCCACGTCACGCACACCACAATGCTCACAATGACCTACTAAAAGCACACAAACAATAATTTACTGTAGTAGCTGCACCACTGTGCTCAATCCTGGCTACGGCTGTTGCTGCGGCTGCTTCGGACTTTTCTGTCGTTGTCACCTCGTCATGGGCATCATCAGCTGGTGGCCCACGTTGCCCATGGTTGACTACGGTTTAAACTTGACCAGCGGTATGTTCTTGGAAGACAGACACTTGTCGCAGCACCATTCGGCGTACACTTCCGCGTGGATGAAGTTAAAAGCCGCCTCCGTCAGACCACTGCACGTCCTGTTTCCGTTTGGTTTGCGCGGGAAAAAATAGAAAGAAAATTGTAGTTAGTTCACAAGTTAAAATGGGCAAGAGATTCAGTTTGAATTGTTCCAGCGAGACATCAGCGATGGACGAGAAAATGTGTTCTACGAGAAGTCAAGTGTGTGTTTAATGAGGATACAGGCCGATAACGCTAAGTAATGGTTAACCGCCGTCTCATTACCGAGCTGCAGGCAACAGGTAAATTGGACCCACGTCAACATGTCCTTCGTGCTGGCAAGGGTGTCGACTCACACCTCGCCAAGCTTGAGTCTCTTATCAGCCTTGAAGAAAACGAACACGTTGAAATCGTATCCCTCGATACATCGAAAGCCTACGATATAACATACAGACCCGAAATACTACGCACATTAGCAGGATGGAGAATTTCTGGACGAATGATGAATATTCTGTCTAGTTTCCTTACTGACAGATACTTTCAAGTAGCTGCCAACGGATCACTCTCAAGTATCAGAAATGCAGTAAACAGAGTGCCACAAGGTTTATTTATTTATTTGGTTCTACATCAACAGACTGGGTTTAGTCCTAATGATGAATTAAGCAATACTAGGAAATACAATATCGTCAAGAAGTAACAAGCTGCAAAGGCCGTGAAGTCCAACTTAATTCCCAATTCTTAAAAATATATCACGGAATCTCTGACGGAGCGTCTCGAGTGCCAAGTGAAAATCAAATAAGGAAGCAACACGATTGAAACCCCTTTGTAGCCCATTGATAGCACCATACAAACTATAGTTTGTACGACGAAAAGGTATCCTCAGCATTGCGTTGTTACGGATTGCTCGTGGTTGAACGTTAACGTCGTTTTGTTGAAGAATAGAAGGACAATCGATTCTGCCCTGTAGAATGTCTGCCACAAATAGGGCCCATGTCGTATCTCTTCGACTCCACAAAGGATCCAGGTGAATTAACTGGCAATGACTTTTCGTAGCTTGGAAGGCGATGAGGATCCCTCCAAGGCAATCGTCGAAGGGGCAAACCAGATGAATCGTCGTTGAATAGACTCTACTCTTTGTACACTGTTTTGGTAATTGGAATTCCATACAAGGCAGCAGTATTCTAACACCGACCGGACGAGGGAGCAGTAAAGCGACTTCAAACAGTAGATGTGCGTGAAACTTTTAGATATCCTGAAAATCAAGCCGAGCGTTCTGGATGCCTTGTCGATCACGTACGAGATATGCTGGCTGTATGTGAGTTGACAATCTAAGATGACTCCCAGACCCTTAATGTGATTCACACGATGTACGTCAACGCCTTCTAGGATATAACTGAATGTAATTGGATGTTTCCGTGAGAACGTGATTAGTGAACATTTTGTTGGATTTACAACCATGCGGTTCAGTTGGCACCAATTACCAAAGCGTTGAGTTGGAGTTGGAGAAGCTGGCAGTCAACGATGGCTCGGATTCGGAGATAGATTTTCATGTCGTCTGCGAACGACAGTCGTGGACCGTCGAGGACGAAATTGACGTCGTTGAAATACACAAGAAATATCAACGGGGCGGAATACCCGAAGTGGCAGGGAACGAAGGAGATCGGCAGTCGTCGATTCCAACTTCCAACTGACGATCATATAGATAGGATGCGAACAATCGTAGGAGACTGCCGTTTAAACCGAGCCTATCCAGTTTGGCTATAACTATAGGATGGTTCAACTTGTCGAAGGCGGCTGATGGGTCAGTGTAGATGTTGGACACAGAAGGTTGGAAGTAGTCGACCGCTCTGCCATGAAAATGCTGGTCTTTGCTCAAGTGCTGCTTGAAGTGAGAGACTGATGGTTCCATAACGACCAACTCGAACAGTTTAGATATGGCACACAACGATGTGATGCCGCGATAGTTTTCGATGTTTCTTTTGCATCCCTTCTTATGCACTGGAAACATCTCAGCTGAAATAACTAAAGGAGGATGGTGTGGAGCAGTCTTTATCAACGGAGAAACAGCCATAGACAAATGCGGAGCAGTATCCTGAGCGGTGACGAAGCAAAGGTCTAAGCTACGATTGTTCTCATTAACCACGTGGTTGATTTGCTTCAGAGTTTTACTTACTTACTTAAGGGTCCTGTGCACCACCAGCGGTGCAAAGGGCCAACGTGAAAGACTTCCATCCTGGGCGGCTGCTCGCTTTTGCCTTGACCTGGGCCCAGGTCAGATTCCTATCGACTTACTTAATTTCCTTATTGAGGCACCGCCACCATGAGCCCCTGCGTTGCCTCTGCTGCGATGTCCTGCCGGATTCCAATCCAGCGCTTGCTTGCAGATTTCGTTTCCGCCCCGTCGAAGTGTGCGGCCGACCCACCTCCACTTTCGCTCTCGAATTTCTGTTGCTATCGGCTTCTGATGACATCGACGATAGAGCTCGGCATTCGAGATCCAGTTGTGAGGCCACCAGGCCTGAATTATATACCGCAGGCATCGGTTGATGAAGACCTGCAGCTTTTGAGTGTTCTCCGCTGATACACACCACGTCTCGCTGGCGTATAACAACACAGATTTCACGTTCGAGTTGAAAATTCGGATTTTGGTGCGTTGACTTATCTGGTTGGATCTCCATACGTTTAGTAAACTCGCAAAGGCAGCCCTAGCTTTCTTGATTCGTGCACCTATGTCGCTCTTGATCCCGCCGTCCGACGCTATTTGGCTGCCAAGATATTGGAAACTTTCGGCCTTCTCCACTGCTTGCCCCACTACCGTAGTTGGAAGGGTTGCCCGTGTTGATATCCAACGATTTGGTCTTGTTGACGTTGATGGTGAGACCCGCCGCAGAGGAGCGTTCGGCTAGGTCATTGAGCTTACTCTGCATATCAGAGCGCTGTTGTGCTAGTAGAGCAACATCATCAGCCAAATCGAAGTCGTTGAGATGCTCCATGGTGATAGGCTGCCAAAGCAGCCCACGGTTCGGTACACGGTCAATTGCACCTACCATGATCTCATCGATTACGATGAGAAACAGTAGCGGTGATAGTATACATCATTGTCTCACACCAGCGACTACCCGGATAAGGTCGGACAAGGTTCCGTTATGCAGAACTCTGCACGTGAAAGCCTCATACTGCGCTTCGATGAGGTTGACGATTTTATCCGGGACTCCCTTGCGTCTCAGGGCGCCCCACAGATTCTCGTGATTGAGACGGTCGAAAGCTTTTTCGTAGTCAATGAATACCAAATAAAGGGACTCTTGGAATTCATTGACCTGCCCCAGGATGATGCGGAGCGTGACAATATGGTCCACACAAGATCTTCCGGCACGGAATCCTGTCTGCTGCCGTCAGAGAGTCGCGTCGATCTTCTCCTATATCTGATTCAGGATAACTTTGCACAGAACTTTGAGAACAATACACAGTAATATGATGCCTCGCCAATTGTCGCACACAGTCAGATCCCCCTTCTTTGGGACCTTCACTAATATGCCCTGCATCCAGTCGGCCGGAAAAGTCGCGGTGTCCCAGATACTACAGCATAGTTGATGCAACATTTGTGCGGATAGCATGGGGTCAGCTTTGAGCATCTCCGCTGATATGCGATCGACCCCTGGAGCCTTGTTGGATGTCATGCTTCGGATAGCTGCTTCAATCTCCTGCAGTGATGGGGCCTCGGAATTGACGCGAGTGATGCGCCGCACCCTAGGCGGATCATACCGAGATGTTGATGGCTGGTTGGCCGTCGAAACTTGAAGTTGTTCGAAGTGCTCAAACCAGCGTTTCAGCTGGTCAGTGGGGTCGGTAAGCAATTGTCCAGTCGTGTCCTTCACTGGCATCCTCGGGTTCATCATTGCTTCACTCAGGCGTCGTGAGATATCGTAGAGGAAGCGTATATCGCCAGTGTTTGCGGCTTTCTCCCCTTCGTCGGCCAGGGAGTTCACCCACGCTCGCTTGTCCCGTCTGCAAGAGCCGAGTACCGTTGACGGGCTTCGTTCTTGGCTCCTCTGGTTCTCGCCCGCTCTATCGCGGCTTTTGCTTCTCTACGCTCCTCAATCTTCCGCCAGGTTTCATCTGTGATCCACTCTTTCCTCTGGGTGCGCAGCTCACCCAAGTTATTCTCGCTTGTTTCTATAAAGGCATTCTTGATGGCCGTCCATTGTTCTTCTACGCTGCCACCTCCTGGAACGTACGCAGCTCGAGTCTCAAGTTCTGCAACAAAAGACCTTTTTACCGGATCTTCAAGTCGGCGTGTGTTGAACCACCGCCCGAGTCTCTCCTCCCATCGCTGAATTCGCGCCATGTGTAGGCGGATTTCGCCGGGATGTCGGCGCTGCGTTTATTCCGGACATCAAGAAGGCTCCGCCTCCATTTTCGGCTGATGCAGATGTGGTCGATCTGATTTTCGGTATATCCATCACGGGAAACCCACGTGACTTTGTGCACTGGCCGGTGGGGGAAGAACGAGCTCCCGATCACCATGTCGTTATTGCCACAAAATTCTGCAAACAGCTCACCGTTCTCGCTCATTTCGCCGAGACCATGGCGTCCCATGACACGCTCATAGTCCGTGTTGTCGGAGCCGATCTTCGCATTGAAGTTGCCAGTGTAGATCTTGATGCCACCCTTTGGAACCTTATCCACGACGGCATTCAGTTGACTGTAAAAATTCTCCTTGTCATGTAGCTCGGCAGCATCGGTTGGCGCATAACATTGGATTATGGTAAGGTTACGAACCCGTGTTCTAAATCTGGCAACGATTATCCTTTCATTAACAGGCTCCCACTTGATGAGCGCAGCACTTGCCTGGACGCTAAGTAGGAGACCAACTCCACGATGGTGGGGAGCGTTTTTTTTCCAAATACCAGAGTATAGTAGTACCTGTCCCAGGATTTCTAGCTTCATGCGTCGCGCCTCGTTGGCGAGTTGTGCCAGTTTACCCTGCTGGGCTAACGTCAATACATTCCATGATCCAATTCGTGTCCGTTGTTTTACGCTAAAAGTCGTTGCCGTTAAATCAGTTCGATGTCTTTCTCTGTTGGTTTCTGTAACAATTGTAAAGGTTTCAGAGACAGTAAGCCGCCGTGATGGGGCTGCCATCTTAGGTGTAGCTTCCGGGGAAGAGCATTTCTTATTCAGCCGCTGGATGCCAGTCAGACGCTGTTTGAGCCGCACCTCCATGTTGAACAGACGCTCGGGTTGGCGAAGCCTTTCCTCTGTCACCGTGCTATGGTTACCGCGCCAGTGTTCGCGTCGCACCTCCTCACTCTACTATTGTCGGATTGACAACATTGCCCAGGCTACGCCGCTTAAGAGTGCGATACTGTAATGATCCAAAAGGCTTACAGCTCCAGAGTGAAATGTAGAATGGTCGTGGTCCGGATACAGGAATCCACCGTAAGATGATCGCCAAGAAATTGCCAGTAGATTGAAGTCACCAATGATTATCATCTCGTCAACAGCTGTAGCGATCTCCATTATAGCTCGAATAGACTAACTGTGGGATTCAATTAGCGTAGAGTCGCGAGTTCGATCCGGAGGAAAGTAAACTACACACAAAAACAAAGTGCGGTCAGCGAGCTTAATTGCAATCCAAACTTGTTCCACACAATTCCATGGATCGTTTTCGATAACTTTTGCCTTCAAGCCAGAGCCGACCGCTATGAGAACGCCTCCACTAGTAGATTTGCGGATGTTGTGCGGATTCCGATCGCATCGAAAAACCTCGTATTCGGAACCAAACATTTGATTTGACAATGTGCGAGTATCGAGTCAAGTCTCAGTGAGAGCGATGACGTCGAAGCAACGATCCGAAACCGCTAAGCGATAATCATCGATGTTGGAATTCATCCTACCAGCGTTCTGGTGACTGACTGTGACGATAAGTAGCCTGGCGGGGGCTGCATTGCGATCTAGAATTGGCAACGACATCAGGCAGGGGATGTTCCAAGACAGATCTTGAATTATACTCACCTGATTGGGAGATTTGGAAGACCCCCTCCTCCAATCCTTTCTGTCTTTTTACTCGTGGCTATGCATCCAATTTTCAAGGCCATACCTACCGGAGTTGAAATCCTCCTATACGCAGACGATGTAATTCTCAGAGCAAGAGGAACCAATCATGAAACTATTCGCACTGACAAACCGACATGACCCTTAGTTCTGACTTATGCCCGAAAATCGTAAACGGTCGATTTAAATGTGCAGTGATCCGAACTGTCAAAACCATACGATTTTTTTTTATCTAGATAAAAATAATTGTCCAGAATAGATCAAGAACCAAGTCATAACTTTTGCAGGCGGGTTCATGGCTTAGCTAAATATTTTTCGCGAACACGGAGCCAGATGTCAGTGTGGTTGGTCAGAAATTTTATTGTTTTTTGCTATGGTCATTCTTGTCGGTTTGTCGATGCTATTCGTACAGTTCTTAGAAAAGCTGTTGAGTGGGCAACTACTGTTGACTTTGCCAAGCAAATCCAAACAACTTCACGTCTGCTACCTACGCCACCGAAAACGCGTTCAGGCTGTAAAGATCAACAAAACTCCAATCCCAATAGTGATAAGTGAAAATTCTTGGGGTCCAACTCTACTCTAAGTTAAATTTTCCAAGTCATTTTGCAGCCACTAAACAAAGCTGTCGCAGGAGAATCAACATTCTACGAATACTCAAAAGGAGTAATCGCCAACTCTGCAGAGAATAGGATCAGCGCTGGTCTTATCGAAACTTTTTTACGACCTGGGAATCACGAGTATCAACATCGAAGCAAATGAACGAATCCTAGGACCCACGTACAATGACATAGTTCGCAGCAGGCATCTGCTGCATTTCCGACTAGTCCCATCATTTCTATAATGACTAAGGCTGATTGACCGTCTTTCACTAAGTGTCTTATCCAAAGCTTATGTCAGCAAACTGCCCGACTAACGGAAACCGCCATGAAGCAACCAAGTATCCTTTGACAAAAAGAGCGAAGGGAACCATCCGGATGGTGTTTCCCAGACGTATGCAGAACTCTAAGAGCTGCAGATAGAGAGTGGTATGCACCAGTCCCAAAAAATCGATAACAACCTTAGGAACAACATCAGAGCAGGCACAAACAGGAGCATCGTACTACCAAAGTTCATGGATTTCATAACTACTCGTTATCACGATCACGAGCAGATATACATCGATGACTCCAAAGAGAACAATCGAACCGGTGCTGGAATAGTTGTGTACATACAACACAAACGTTATTTTCGGCTTGCCTGACATATGCAGCGTATTCTCAGCCGAAGCATTTGCCCTAAAAACAGCTATATCGAATATCCAAGGCCAGAAAAAAAAAAGCATTATCCTAACCGACTCCGCTAGTTGCCTCGATGCACTAAGTACTAAGTGGAGGTCGGTCCAAACACCCAGTCCATCGAAAAAAAAACAACATAGAGGAACGAGACATTACGTTTAGCTGAATCCCTAGTCATTCCGGTATCGCTGACAACGGAACAATTGACGAACTGGCCAAACAAAGACGAATCCAACCGCAACTTGAAATCCCGATACCATCCCAAGATGTTGTACATGCGATAAAAAGTAGGATTTGTTAAGCATGGGTATTGAAATGGGATCAAAGTCAGGCCCAATTTCGATGATTTAAGCCAACACCTGCTAGATACAACGATCGAAACTGCGCCTCAAAACAACCCGAATTAGAATAGGGCATACCCGGCTTACTCATTCACACTTAAAGAACCACAACCCCCCACCTGTATCTAGGTTCTGTAACAGTTCACCATATACTGGTGGAATGCAGAGGATGTGCACAAACTCGGAAATCTTCCGGAATCAATGGATCACTAGCTAACAATACCGATAAAAAAACAATTTTAAAATGTTTAAGAAATTTTTGTTCAATGAAATTTAATTAGTTAGATTAATTTATTGTAATTTGAAATATCCCCGAATTATCTCCGATATTATCAAAAAATATCGGGTCTAAATTATCGATAACGATAGCCGATATTTAAAAATCCGATATCGGTTTGATGTTGTTTCTACCGTCGGTGGTTCTATCTCCAGTTGAAGTAATCGACCGGTGCATAACCATAACGATGTAAAAACAGACAGGGCTAAATTACTGGTGAAGTACCTAGGGGAAATGTTGGCTTCGGCAATACCTTAACCTATTATCGTCAGGGGGGTAAACAAAGTCCTAGAGCACTCAAATTTGGCCAAAAGTTGCTCTAAAACACAAAGTATCCACATGCCAAAATTGAGCTCTCAAGGACGTTTTTTACCCCCTGACGATAATAGGTTAAGGTATTGCCGAAGCCAACTTTTCCCCTATTTAAAATATTCGAGTTAGTTTCTACTTCATAATCGACGAAGTGAATTCAAAAGAGACGGAGAGTTCAATCTAATTTAAAGAGCTTGTCCTTCGATCTTGAGCCGTTGCAAACTTAGTGTTTAAGTTGACTACTAGAAGAAATTGATTGGATGTATTTGTATAAGCTTGTACCGTGGGACAAAAACGCTAGAACGTCGCTGTCGCTGGCGTTTCGAAAGACACAATTAGCAGGTTTTAATATAACTCACCTATGGAACCAAAAGTTGCAGCCAGATTCGCACAGTATTCCTTGATCGTTGTCATGCACTTCTTTGTGGCAGCCACCGCAGGGATAGATCGGTGGTGCATTCGGGTTCTGCGGGTTGAACACTTTCGACTGGTCCGGTGGGTACAGTTTCCCCGACGTCACCGGCATCGGTTTGGGACCGAACATTCCCATGTGATGGTGATGATTCGGAGGAGGTCCATTTCCTGGCGGGCCCAGTCCGCCCATAGGTCCACCAGGACCACCCATCGGTCCTCCTGGTCCACCTGGGCCACCTCCCATCGGACCACCCATCATGTGGGGAGAATGCAACGGACTGCCACCCATACCGCCGCCCATTCCACCCATATGTCCCATTGGGCCGCCCATTGGCCCTCCCATGCCCATTCCACCGGGTCCTCCGGGACCCATTGGTCCTCCTGGTCCCATTGGTGGCCTGTGTCCCGCGTGACCAGGTGGCATATTTCCGTGAGGTGGCATTCCCATGTGATGATGCATGCTGTTCGGTCCTCCTCCACCACCTCCCAACGACGGTGGCATGTGAGGATTCTGCTGATGATTACCAGGATGATTACTAGGATGATTTCCGGGGTGATTTCCGGGATGATTTCCGGGATGATTTCCAGGATGATTACCAGGATGATTTCCGGGATGGTGAGGTGGATGGTGGTTCATACTGCCCATTGAATTCGGTGGCATTCCTCCCATTCCACCGGGACCCATACCAGCTGGGTTCATACCGCCTAAACTATTGCTTCCCGGTCCTCCAATACCACCTGGGTTCATTTGCTGCTGCTGAGGTCCTCCAGGTCCCATAGGACCGCCATGTCCACTTCCTCCAGAACCTGGACCACTACCTACGGGCCCACTACTAGCACCTGGTCCCTGGGCGTGTTGAGCATGGGGCGATTGCTGTGGTAGCGGAGAAGCGTGTGATTGCTGTTGCTGCGGATGAGGAGGATGAGGTGGAAGTGGCTGGGACTGAGCGGCAGGAGATTGATTCGGTTGCTGTTGTTGATTCGTCACCATCGAAGGCGACGGGTGCGGTTGACTCACTTGTATATGTTGTTGGTTATTTGCATGCTGTTGTTGGGATTGTCCCTGGGGACCCTGCTGACTATTATTCGATTGCTGTTGAGGACCCAGCTGATGAGGTAATTGATTAAGGTTCCCTGATTGCTGATTTGCCATTGCACCATTGGGTAGGTTCATCCTATTATTACTATTTACTCCGGCTACGTTCGGTGACGTTTGACCACCACCAGTTGGTCCCGCGGACGACACCGGTTGACTATGGCCGGCCGAATTGGGACCTAAGGGAACGTGATTTGGGGGACCATTTCCGAGGGGACTGTTCATGGGGGGACCCATAGGGCCATTGTTTATATGACCACCACTCGTATTCATCGGACTTCCTATCATCTGTCCTTGGCCTCCGTGAGGTGAGCCCATTCCAGGCATTGAATTCATCGGGCTGCCGATGTTTCCTCCACTCATGGGACTTCCGACGGATTTATTGTTCATTTGTTGCTGACTCATCGGTGACATGCCACCCATCGGACCCATGGGGGACAAATTTTGATTCATACCACCCATTGGACTCAATCCACCCATTTGAGCACCAGGAATCGTTCCCATGGGACTCATTCCTCCTCGTTGAATAGGTCCATGAGGGCCCATTCCACCCATTTGTCCCATGCCAGAGTTCATATGCATTGGATGACCCATGGGGCTGCCCATTCCCATTGGGCTCATACCTCGCATCGGTGGACCCTGTGGCCCTCCAGGTCCCATTGGACCGTGCGGCCCAATGGCATGATGGGGAGATCCATGTCCTGGCCCGTGTCCCATTCCATGAGGTGGCATTCCATGCATTGGACCGCCATGAGGTCCACCATGAGGCCCCCCATGAGGGGGTCCATGTGGAGGCCCATGATGACTCATGGGACCGGTCATGTGATGAGGATGCATACCCATGGGACCCATTCCCATTGGACCACCATGTCCCATAGCACCTCCGCCCATGTGGCCCATCATTCCCGGACCTCCGTGATGCATGTGACTTAAGTGGGGCGAAGGCGTATGCGTGGGCGTATCGTCAAAGGGATTCGACGCAATGATCGTATCGCCGTATCCGGTAGGCGGAGGTGGCAGTAAATCCTGGGGCGAGGGAGATGGCGTCGGTTGCGAGGCTGCTGAGTTCGCATTGTTAGCGTTCGATGTTTTCCTCCGCTTTTTCGGTTGACTCGGCGCAGAAATTGGCAGCTGGGGTGATTCCGAGGGTGATTTGAAATCCGGCGGACAACCGAGTCCGGGTCCTGGCATACGGTAGGAAGCCATTCCCAGATTATGTGTCATTACTTTGCTAACCCCGGTGACAGCACTAAACAGCTGCAGGAACCGCGCGCCTGTTTGATTGCTCAACCGGAGGATACACTTACTGGGACGACTGAACACCAGATTAAAACGAAGACTATACACATTCACTATCGATAGTACACTAACGTGTCACCCTACTGCTGCTGTGCTAATAAGTGCGTTGTTGGATTACAAAGTGTTATTGCTCTTTTGGTTATTACTTTCACGGTTTGTTTCACTGTTTTTGTTTTTCTTATACACTACTATTCGGCGGTGCTTTTTTGCTTTATATGACACATCCCAACAGTTCTAACAGTTGGATCTATGCTATCCACCAGCATAGTATAATCATTTGCCGGATCAAAGCACTACGTTTGCCCTACGCAGGTCGGGTCACTGGGTCTGAGGCTGTACTGTCCATTTTAGCTCTGTTCTGTCGTTGCAGGCGAGATCTACAAAGATACGGAAAAAGAGAATGCATTTAGAATTTGATAGTATATTTAGGAAGACAGTAGTGTATTCTGATTTTGGAAACATACAAATGGGCCTTATCAATTGGTACAATGACAATGAGTTCAATGGCATTCAAAGACAGATCCAGGGAAGCTAAAAAGGAAGGAAGTTCGAAGTTCCTCTCTCCGTGCAAATCAAATGACACACACAACTCGCAGAATAGAGGGTATATTCTAAATGACAATAGATTGTTGATTTCATTCATAAATCAGATAATATATTATATCCGATAACATCCTCCAATCGCCTCCTTGAACTTCGCATCATTCGGCTTCCTCTTTAATCATCGAGACCATACGAAGGAGGAGTTAGCAGTATCAACGAAGATCACCCGAGATATCGACGGAGAATCGAATTTTCGCACTTTCTCAAACGTTTGCCCCTTGCCCTCTCCGTTTGTCTTCACTCACATCTTCCTCATAATCATCGTCATCGCCCGGTATCAGCAGCGAGAACGGCATGCAAGACAAAAGAACAAAAAGAAGTAGTCTCAGCCACCAAACCAAGTATGTGTGTCTGTGATGATGTGTTTTGTATAGACGGTATAGACAGAAGAAGTGAGGTACCACACAGAAGAATCACAACCAGCTAAAGATATGAATGATTGACCTCAGCAGTCATCGCGGCATGCCAGCCAAACCAGAAGCGCTGCTGCTCACTGCCGCAGCAGCACGGATCCAATAAAACGTGCGAATAAAAATATTTTATTTTCGAATGAGCGAAAGAGAAGGAGGAAAATAAAAATGGAAGCTACCTTCAATAACAAAAAAAAAGTTCGAACATGATTAAAGTGTGAAACAAAAAAAAAGGAAAACGGAGAGGGTGCATAAGCAAAAGGTAAAGAGCAGTAGTGTCAATGGAAGTGCTGCCGGATATCTGGGGGTTCACTCAATCACTCTTTCTCTCGTCTATTTTTGATCGAATTTTGATGTAGTCGAGATATTTTTTAAAACTTTATTACACTGTCATCCCTAGAGCACTGGAACTAATATTTGCAGTAGTAACATTTCAAAAATATAGATTACAAATAGTCGTAAATTATTGAGTCCGAGGAGTTATGTGGTGCATTCACGGTACACAATTAAAAATCTGAAAAGAAATTATTTTCTTCTATATTATATTATTATAGGTCTATTGAGTAGCCCGTAAGTGTTCTACTTACGTAGCGTTAACCAGACTTTATTAAAATAATTTGTTTTAAGATTGCACTCGTATATCTCACCGTGCCAAATTTTGAAACGATCATCACTTTCATAGTTCTTCTATTCTTCATGGGTTCTAACTTTGATTTGCCACTTTTCGCGTCACTTTTCAAATAGACCAATTCTAGATAAACATTTCAAAAGGTCCTATCTGACATTTGTAAACACACCATCCTCCTTTAGTTATTGCACTTGAAGGCAACCAAATTCCTGCAGCTCTTCACGTTGCTAAATGTACCGCTTCACTCCTCCTCAACGTCGAAGAACTTCAGACCGATCATGGTACGGAACTTCTCCAGCTGAACTCTCGCCAAAGGCTTCCTGAGTATGTCTGCGATCATTGATTCCGTTGGACAGTGGCTGACTTCCATCACGCCAGTCGACATCAGTTCTCGCACAAAGTTGAACCGTGTATGAATGTGTTTGGTTCGTCGGCTCCCTCCTTCGGATGACAGCATGGCGATGCAGCTCTGGTTGTCCTCGTGCATCACCACTGGCCCATCGACGACCTCGCCTATGTCCTCCATTAGCTTCAACAGCCAGAGTAGCTCATAACTAGACTCGGATAGCGCAACGTACTCAGCTTCTGTAGACGACAGGCTGACACATTGCTGTTTCCTAGTGGCCCAGCTGATTGGACCACCTCCGAGTTTAAAAACGAACTCGGAATTTGATTTTCGATCCGATTTGTCACCAGCCCAGTCTGCATCCACAAATCCTTCGAGACCGCCGGTTCCGCCAAGCTCAAGCTTCAAGTCAGCTGTTGCTTTGAGGTACCGTAAAGTCCCCTTCGCCTCGGACCAATCCGCTTCGGTAGGTTAGCTCACCTTTCGTCCCAGAATAGACGCAGCAATCGCAATATCGGGTCTGGTGTACACCGCAACGTATAGCAAAGCACCGACCAGACTCTGGTAACGCTCGCCGGATGGCATACACTCCTCCTTCTTTTGCTTCACGTTTGGATCCATGGGTATTTTCGATGGCTTCGCTTGGCCCATGTCAAACGGTTCAGCAATCTTCCGGATGTAAGCTGATTGGTTCAACAAGAAACTGCCGGAACATGTTTGCTCCACCTGTATGCCGAGGTAGTTGGCGACATCCCCCAGGCACGTGAGCCTGAATCGTTTCGACAGGTAGTAGTAGATCCTCGACGTACAACAATATGAACGATAATTGATTATTGATGCGCCGAACGTAGAGGCACAACAAACACACCACCTCCTCAGATCCTACTTGATAGCCCATTGGTTGCTTCATGTAAATGGTCTCGGTGAGCTTTCCGTGCAGGTATGCTGATTTCACATCGATGTGCTTGACTTGCAGGGATCGACGAGCGACAATCGTCAACAGCGTTCGAAACGTAGTTTGTTTGGCTACTGGAGCAAAAACCTCGTCGTAGTCGGTGCCGAACTTCTGACTATAGCCCTGTGCTACGAGTCGTGCTTTGTAGCGGATCACTTGGCCCGACTCATCCAGCTTCTTCTTAAAGATCCATTTGCATCCGACTGGTTTTTGTTTCGATGGCAGCTTCACGATCCCTAATGTCGAGTTTTCTTGAAGGATTGCGAATTCCTCATCCATTGCCTTCTTCCACTCGTGGCGTTCCTGGCTGCGTATAACTTCATCATAGGTACGGGGTTCATCGTGCTGATTGGACACTAGGCGGGTGGTTTCTGGATACCGCAACGATAACACACCTTTGTTTTTACGACTGGACCGTCGTACATCCTCCGCTTCGTCCTCGGTGGCAGTGTCAAAATCCTCTCCGGCGCTGAAGTATCCATCAGAAAACCCTTCGAAATCGTCTTCATCGGATTCCGAAAGCTCTAACTCGAATTTATCGGCTGTAACAACGGGTTTCTCATCATCCTCAACGGAAATAGGTTTGAAAGGATAAAAAACGATACTTCCCTCATGAGGTCCGGTTTCCCGAACCTCATCTGCTGGAATGAACCTGGCATCTCGAGATACGGCGAGCTTGTTCGTCGCTAGATCCAGGAAACGGTAGCCCTTGTGCTGCTGCGAATAACCGACGAAGGTCATTTTCGTCGACTTTGGGTCCAATTTCGTACGCTTCTCTTTTGGCTTGTGATCCGAACAATCGAAGATGGGTGACGTCTGGTTTCTATCCAGTCCACAGTTTGTATGGCGTTTCCGGCACGGCACTTGACGGCAAACGCCGTGTTTACTGCTTCGCCCCAGTATTGCTTTGGCGTTCTGCTGGGGCGGGTGGCTGGTACTAAACTGCTGCCGAATGCCCTCTTGACGACAAAAATTCTCTAGCTGCTGATTCTTGAACTCACCACCTTGGTCCGATCGAATTACTTTCGGTGACCTGCAGAACGTTGTCTTCATCTCCTCATTTTTTCTTCAAAAAATACACCAGCGAGTACCGCGTGAAGTCATCGGTAATCGTTATGAAGTACCGACAGAACACTGCCGAACGCGACTAATGTCGTTTTCGTTTTTGCGGTGTAGCTACACCGGTGCTACACTGCCGAACACCGAAAAAAATTAGGGTGTAGCTATCGGTCGCACCTTTGCTAACAAAGAAGTGATGATGAACTGTCAATGACTCGCACTTATTGCTGCTTACACTACACCGGTGTAGTGTAGTAAAAACGAAAACGACATAACTTACGCACGGCGGAAAAAAAATCACTTTGTTTATCGGTTGCTATGGTAACTTGCTGGGCCCATAACCTCTTGGGAGAAATGGAGCAAAGTAAAATAGCGTCTAGTCCGTAAGAGCGCCGACAAAAGAAGAACGAATTTTATTCAAATAACTCATGGCTAACTTAGACCTATACGCCTTTTTAATGCACCACCAACGTAGAGTGCGCCACGCGAGTTCGAGAAGAAACGTCAACCAAACCGTTTGTTTACATCAGAATAAGTATTTTCCCCAACGCAAATAACAGCATTTTTCATTCAAAATCTTGCCAATTTCCATCGGTAATTGTCTTATTGTACGATTTTCCACAAATCTGAACTGATTTGCACCTTAACTATTCACACACAAGAAATCCGGAAGATCGTAACCACTAAGGCACTTTTCTAATTTTCCATTTTTCTCAACAAAAATATTCCTGAACACCAGCAGGATATTTTCAAAACCGTTACAGAATTAAATTTTTCAACTGTAGATTAAGTTTTGCAGCATCTCAGATGAATCAATTTATCAGGAAAAGTAAAAAAAGTGTTCCGCTTCCTATCTCTCAAGGCAAAAATTTATGCTCACAACACTCTTTTTGACGTTCTCCTATTCACCACCAGAGGTTGAATCGATCGTTTAGTTTCTATTAAAAAGGCCTATATTATTTCTACACTGCAGCTCTTCACGTTGCTAAATGCACCGCTTCACCAACACCCAACACTCTTTTCGACGTTTTTCTATTCACCAGCAGAGGTTGAATCGATCGCTTTGTTTCTATTAAAATGGCATATAGCATACAATATCATCATTCGAACAAACAATCTTAGGCTGTGTTCCATCCATCATTTTGGTTAAATTTCACTTAAATTTGACAGATGGAAAATTTTCAAACAAACCTGCTATTGCGCCACTCTTATTTCTGACAGACCAGGATTTAATGTTGACAAACACCTTCTTGAAAATCGAAAGATCATCAACAGAGAAATTTTCGAACGTTATAATTTATTTTCCAAGTGTCAAATGTATGTGAAAGTTCACCAAATACACCTTAGGCCGATCGCAATGCTGTTGTATTTTATAT